AACAACACTGCTGAGTGACTGTCAACACCTGGAGACGCCTCGACTCACTGGCTGCTTCCTTTTTAAACCAGACCTTCCCTTGGCTGACTGCATGCCCAGAGCTGCCTGGCCATGCGCCTCACTCCTGCCAGTTACACAACTGGATTCACATCCTCCGCAACACAACAGCAAAACTCCAGAAGGGCTCTACTGAGAAGACTGACTTTGTCATTGGCTACTGGAAATTCAAAGATTTTCAGTCCCCAAAGTCACACTCAGCTAGACTCTCCATATAGCCTCTGTAGATCCAGGCACATCCTGAGGGCACATTGTCCCAGCCTGACAGCACTGCATAAGACAGGCTTGCTACTTACCACTGAGAGCAGGACCCTGCAGAAAAGCAACAGCAACTACTCAGAGAAGAACTTAAGGATACTGGTGGATGAAAAATTGGACACGAGCCAGCAATATGTGCTTGCACCCCAAAAGCCAATTGGATCCTGGGCTGCATCAAAAGAAGCGTGACCAGCAGTTCGAGGGAGGGGATTCTGCCCCTCTACTCCGCTCCTGTGAACCCCTACCTGGAGTACTCCCTTCATCTCTGGGGTCCCCAGCACAAGAAAGACATGGACCTGTTAGAGTGAGGGCCACAAAAATGATCTGAGAGCTGGAACACCTCTCCTGTGAAGAAAGGCTGAGAGAGTTGGGGTTGTTCAGCCTGGAGATGAGAAAGGTTCGAGGAGACCTTATTGCAGCCTTTCAATACTTAAAGGGGGCTTATAAGAAAGATGGACAAAGACACTTTATCAGTGCCTGTAGTGACAGGACAAGAAGCGATGGTTTTAAACTGAAAGAGAGTAGATTTCGAATAGATGTAAGGAAGAAATATTTTATGATGAGGATGGTGAGAACAGGTTTCCCAGAGAAGTTACAGATGCCCCACCACTGGAAGTGTTCAAGGTCAGGTTGGATGGGGGTTTGAGCAACCTAATCTAGTGAAAGATGTCCTTACCCACAGCAGGGGTGTTGCACTAGATGATCTTTGAAGGTTCCTTCCAATGCAAGCCATTCTATCATTCTACTTAATACTTAACCCATTGCTGCCAGAGGATGCTGCCTTTACAGTTCAGATATTAGAGCTTTCCTGGGAATGGGAGACCAGAGCTCCGTCATCAAGCTGATGGGAGAAAACCCTCAGCTCTCACATCCTGGGAGAGGTCTCAGCCATCCCTGCTCCTCTCTTGGTCTTCTTAACCCCATGATCTGATCTGCCAAGGCCCTCCTTCCTGTCTCCTCCGCGGCCAGGATCAATAACACGCTGGGCTGCTGGACACCATATGGCACCCCAGCGCCTCAGTTTGGAACAGGTTCGGGTTCCAGACTGGGGCCTAGCCACCCAAAATATCAGTGCTGCAATGTCAGAGCCCTTCTTGGAGCAAGCTCTTCACGCACAGCCTGATGCTGGGTATTACCTTGGATCCCATGCATCATTTTTTTAACCTTGTCCCTGTGTCCCTGACCTCTTTCAATAACCAAATGCCAATAACCAGGAAAAGAGTGTGTTTAGATCTGACAGCATTTAAAGCAGCTCAAGTCACAGTGCCCTTTCCCCAAAACTAGATGAGTCACTCTCCAGGACTACTAGCAAATCCCCTTTTCCGAGTATCAGGATGCCTACCACCTCTAGTGCTTTGATACAAGCAGCAACTTGTTGATAGCTTTTGTTGCAGGAACTCTATGAATGTGTACATGTGCAAGATACTAGTTTCTGGGAGTTGTGGGTAGGGAAGGGCTGAAGGGGTCTTTGCTTTTTTCCTGGTTGGTGAACTTGACAGTGGGAGACAGGCTTTAGCTGAGACTGTGGTTTATTTATATTAGAGGCATTGGAAAGAAGTGCAGTGTGTTAATGGATAAACTCAAGACTGCAAGTCTCTTTACCTAGGTTGGCTTCTGTATGTGTGAGATGAGCTCTGGGATGGTGGGTTAGGGCTCTGGAGTTCTGCAGAAGCAGAAATTTCTGCAGGAATGGAAAAAAACTTGGTTGCTATATAGACTCTGTAATGACATGTAACCACTCCTTGTTGAAAAGGGATATGAACATTCAAATGGCATAGATTTCTACAGTCCTAAATCTTCACCTCAGCAATTTGCTTTATTTACGGTACAGATTGGCAGGTCAGACTTGGAAAAAAGACATAAGAAAGGACTGAGGACCTTTCCTGAATTGCCAATATGTGTACTTTCTGATGAATTAAAACATTATCAAGAAAAGAAAGGAGCATCTGTTGTTTAGCTGCACTGACATACATAGCAGAAATCACAGCATACCTTATGACATCTCCCTTAGCAAGAATTCATGCACAGGCTTATAACAACACTTCTTGGAGAATCTCCCACATTTTTGCAGCTTAAAGTGTACAGATGGGCACATGTGCACGAGTGTATGTATGCTCTTCTTCATACATCAGAAGTGACCTCACATGTCTTTCTGAGATTCCAATACAGTAGTTCAGCTAGACCCCCGCGTCTTGTGGCTGTGACCAAATCTTTGCCTCTTGGCCAGTCATCTTGCCATGTCCGTGACTCTTGGGCACCAGCACTATCACACTGAAGGACCCAGATTACTCCTCTACTTTCAGAATTTTACCAACACAACTGCCAAATGTTTTCAGTAACACTTATTTCCCTCTTAGTGGCCTGCTTAATGTATTGCTCTTAGGCATTTCTTATAAGCTTCACACCACCACATGGGGAAGATAAATGTTGTCATCCCCATTGTACAGCTGGGATATCTGCAGCACAGACATTCCAAGCAATCCACCCTGGGTCATACAGTGAGTCGGTGGGAAAGCCAGCAATAGAATCCATAAGTCCTACATCCAAGTTCTCTAAGTGCCTTGACTAGTCCAGATTCCCTCCTTAACACCCTTGTCAAATTATTTATAGGAGATGTATTCATATAGTAAGTAAGACATCAAAATTTTCTAATTATATCTAGTCATGTCAAATGACAATTATGCCCTTAGTTCAGTTTGCCAGACAATGCTTTGCCAAAGAAGGTTTGCCAAAAATTTTTTGACCGAAGAAAGAGTAGGCATCTGTAGCATCTGCAGACTAGATCGTATAAAATGTCCCTGTGACAAGTCTGCCCTGTCTCCACGGAAAGCTTGAAGGTAAGTGTATGTGGTCCACAGTCTTGCAGGAAAGGGATGGTGCCCTTATGTGCCACAACATTCCTGCAGCCTCCAAAGCTCATTTCCAGGAGGGGACTCAATTTCTCAGCTCAGGTTTTAAATCTGCTTTCAAGGCACCTGCACATTTTCACTCTGGATTTCTGTACAGCAGCAAGTGGGGAGTTGCCATTTCTGTTTTACACTACTGACCAGCTGCCAGCCTGCAAGCCACCCATCTGGTGTCACGAGAGGTAAGAACCTGATTTATTAATTCTTAGAGGGCAAAGAAAGATCCTGTTGGATGGGATTTCTGTATGGCTGAGTGAATGGTCAGTGTTTCACCCTATATTTTCAAACCCAGTGTGGTCACAGTAAAAGGTGGTGGGGTGCCCAGGACTGGTAAGTTTTCAAGTGAATCATAGAATCATAGAACAGCCCAGGTTGGAAGGGACCTCAAAAGGTCATCTGGTCCAATCTTTAAGTGTCTGTGTTTGAAGTCTCTGACCACTGATGGCAGACCAGAAAATCCCCATGGGGACATCCTTCACTTCTGCTTAACTGACTGTCCTAACAGGGAGCAAGGTGTGCTGGCTTCCCATCTTTGCTGTCGCAGCAGTAGAACTGGATGAGCATAGTAGGAAAAAGTTCAAAATTCAATATTTTGTCTCAGAGCATGTGAATTAATGTATTATTTTGTCCAAAATTTGCCATGAAAGCACTAAAGGAGTAAGAGTAGAAAGAGCTGTAATATGAGCAACCAAACTCTGCTTGTCATCTCTGTAAAATGCAACATTGTCGTTTGTTCCCCTTACTGCTCTGCCTGTTCTCTACCTCACAAAAATGGAAGCTGCAGCCTTCCTCCTCTGTAAGCCACCACCTGTTCCTGCAGCGACAAATAAAGAATTATCATGTTACTTTCTCATTTTAGTACAAATATAACACAATATTAAAGGTTGTGTAAATATTAGGTACCTATCTCTACATCTATCTCTATCGCTATAGGATAGAAAAAAATAAATGTTTTCCTAAGCTGCCCACTGTTTTTTTCTGGGGGGAAAAAAAAAAAAAGTAATTTTTCAGAAAAATTAACCCTGACTTTAAAATTCATTATTTTTTAAATTCCTGAGTTGAGCTTTGAACCTTTGTGTTTAACTTTGTTTTCCCATAAAATTATATTAATTTTAAAAAAGCAAAAGAAAATAATAGAAATGGAGCTATGCCAGTGTGTTCTGGAACAGCATTACTCTTCTTTTGACAGGCATTGTAGCCATTTATGCCTGGATTCAAGAACTCACTAAAATTAGCAAATTGTTAATCATTGTATTAATCATTAATACAATGATACAAACGTTTTAGAGACTGAAACTGAGCCATTAAGATGCTTGAGTTGTCTGTATGCCACTTAAGACAGTGGTGTACGAGCCTTCTGTATGAGCTTTCTGAATTAGTATTAATTGGGAAGAAACTGCATTATAATAATTTCAAGTGAATTTTGAAAGAGTGCCTAAGAAGCTGAAAAGAATTTTGAAGTTCTTAACTCCACAGTACAGTGCCTAAATACTTGACTACTAAGTGACTATGGAATATTTCAAATTTGATTTCAGTACAGTGGACCCTAAGCCAAAGGATATCCCAAAATATAATTTTCACATTTTCCATAAATGTTGAATCACACCAATGCAAAAATATAAAATTACTTCCAAAAAAGCTATGAATAGTATTAATACAGTATCTTTCTTTTCCCATCTTTTATTCTACTAACAAGCATTTACTTTTTGACACATTTGAGCAACATCTCTGCTCTTCCACAGTGTTCTCTGCTGACGAGCCCCTCCATAAAGTGCACACATGTCGTCAGACTCTGAGATGGCTGTCTTTGGGGAGGCAGCTCCCTACCTCCGGAAGTCAGAAAAGGAGAGAATTGAGGCCCAGAACAAGCCTTTCGATGCCAAGACTTCAGTCTTTGTGGTGCATCCTAAGGAATCCTTTGTAAAAGGGACAATCCAAAGCAAAGAATCAGGGAAGGTCACTGTCAAGACTGAAGGTGGAGAGGTGAGTAAGAAACAAGGCTGAAGGTAACCACTTTATTCCCAATCTCAGCTCTTAGCTGACATACACGCATCTCCTTCTTCCTCTGACAGACCCTGACTGTGAAGGATGATCAAATCTTCTCCATGAACCCTCCCAAGTATGATAAAATTGAGGACATGGCTATGATGACCCACCTCCACGAACCCGCTGTGCTGTACAACCTCAAAGAGCGTTATGCAGCCTGGATGATCTACGTAAGTACCAGCAGCAGTCTTCCTTTGGCTAGCTCGGAGGAACTGCTCTGCCAGGCTAAGTGGAAGCCAACATGCTGTCTCCCTTCCTCGCAGACCTACTCGGGTCTCTTCTGTGTCACTGTCAACCCCTACAAGTGGCTGCCAGTGTACAACCCGGAGGTGGTGTTGGCCTACCGAGGCAAGAAGCGCCAGGAGGCCCCTCCACACATCTTCTCCATCTCTGACAATGCCTATCAGTTCATGCTAACTGGTGAGTGGCTCTTTCTCAGAGGGATTGTACCATGAAACTCTCTGAAGGAATATTCTGTCTCAGTAATATCAGGAGACTTTTCCAAAGCTTTCATGGTTCTGATGCATACATACTATTGTGTGTTTTAGTATCTTCACACCATTGTTTCTACTATTTTAAATAAAAGACACCCCTGCACTCAGTGAGGTGTTGTGGAGGGTTTTTTGCTTGTTTGTTTGTTTATTTTTTTAACTCAAGCTGACAGCGTGGAGCTGAAAACATTAAATTTACCTGACTACATTTCATTCATTCTCTGTTGTTCATTGAGTTTTAAGTACTGTATTGCTGCTTTTTTCACAGATCGAGAGAACCAGTCGATCCTGATCACGTATGTACACCCCCTGCTCAGGTCTCTGTGGGGCTGCCCTGTGCCAGGGGACCTCCTGCCTGACCATACGTTCTCTGCCTCTCTCTTTGGTTTGACAGTGGAGAATCCGGTGCAGGGAAGACTGTGAACACAAAGCGTGTCATCCAGTACTTTGCAACAATTGCGGCTAGTGGGGATAAGAAGAAAGAGGAACAGTCAGGCAAAATGCAGGCAAATTAATAGACACTGGCTTGAATCAATGCTTTTGTCTGTTCCTGACATGATTTTTGGAAAGGATAAACAGCAATAACTATCATCCTGCAGGGAACGCTTGAGGATCAAATCATCAGCGCCAACCCACTGCTGGAGGCCTTTGGAAATGCCAAGACCGTGAGGAATGACAATTCCTCACGCTTTGTAAGTTGCTTAACCAAATGATTCCTGAAAAATAGTAAACAGGAATGTATGGCAGTCATTCTTTTCTCTTGTTCAGGCATCGTGCTTTCAAGAGTAAGACTGAATTTTCTTATCATGAATTTACCACTTATCCTAAAAGTAATTCTCCAGATTTCAAAAATAATGATTCTATGAAAAAAAAAATTCTGCTTTGCTTTGAGATGCAAATTAAAATAACAGGTCACATGCTCTTTCTCCGATGTATTGCAGTGTTAAACAATAGTTTATATATTTCTGTTCATTTGCTAAAAGACAGAGAGACAGACAGAATGCCAGGAAGAAAGGGAGGGAGGTTAGGAAAGATGGGAAAGAGGAGCGAAAGAGAGAGATAGAGAAAGAAAAAGAAGACTAAAAGAAGGAGAGAGAAAGAAAGAAAGAGAAAGAGAGAGAGAAAAACAGAGGGCATAGGGGAGAGAGAGTTTCTACTTGAATAATATGTTTGCTTTATGTCAAATTTAATTAATCAGAAGTAAAATGGCTTATTTGATAGCAAGACAGATTTGAGCAGCTGAACTAGTTAAATGGCTATTTCCGTATCATCAGTATGACTGCTCTCTGTATGCAGGATATAGTTAGAAGAGTTTGGCTAACAAAATCTACCCATTCCTTCCCATTTGTACATTCAGCATACATAAAATATACAGCTGTGCCACTGTTGATTATTTTCATAGTCAAAAATGTAAAAGACGACTTTATGTCAATGGTGGAAATATAGCTGATTCTTAAGAAAATGTCTCTAAGTAAAAATCTTGTGTCCAGTGGAGTAAATGGCAAAACTCTTAATTTCAGATATATTATTATGATGTAAATCTTAAGACACTTTTATTCCTTTAAAGGGCAAATTCATTAGAATTCACTTCGGTGCCACAGGAAAACTAGCTTCTGCCGATATTGAAACATGTAAGACACTTTCCTGAACTGTTCACAATCCATCCATTCACCCACCTATCCATACAGCTTTTCACCCAACCATCTATCCTGCCTTCCCTGTTTTTCTTCCTATCTTCTCCCTGCTTTCTTTTTTGCTGTTTCTTCTTGTTTCTAACTAAATTTTCCCTCCAGATCTGCTAGAGAAGTCCAGAGTCACTTTCCAGCTCAAAGCAGAAAGAAGCTACCACATATTTTATCAGATCATGTCCAACAAGAAGCCAGAGCTAATAGGTAGGAAGAATGACTAACTTGGAGGAAGATTGCTGAACATCAACTCACACTATTACTTGATTGACTAAACTAAGCCTGCATGTCCCTTCTTCTTACTTTCAGACATGCTTCTCATTACGACCAACCCATATGACTATCACTTTGTGAGTCAAGGTGAGATCACTGTTGCCAGCATTAATGACCAGGAGGAGCTGATGGCTACAGATGTAAGTAACAATTAAAAAAGTTGTACCTATTGTCATCTCTCCCAGACAAAGCTTTTATTTTATTGTTCATATTGCAGAGTGCCATTGACATCCTGGGCTTCACTGCTGATGAAAAAACAGCCATTTACAAGCTGACAGGAGCTGTCATGCACTATGGCAACCTGAAGTTCAAGCAGAAACAACGAGAGGAGCAGGCAGAGCCAGATGGCACAGAAGGTATTAGCAAAGTCTGTGGTTGACCTGTTAGAAATAGAAGTAGCAATAATAATTCAGTATTTGGAAGATGGAGAACGAGAACAGTAGAAATGTGTAAAAAAGTGTTTAGGTGGAGCTAGTATATAGGTATGAAACTGCCACCCTTTTTTTCAATTACTACCTTATCTCTATTTGCAGTATAAGTTTGCATATGTGTCCATAATTCTCTCCTGGGCTACCACAGTTCTGGATAGCCTGTTCAGTGTGCTTATATTAAAGACCCACTGAGAAGAGAAAGATTTTTCAGAAAATACATTTCTGGTTGCTTCTTTAAAGAAAACGGAGGCATTAAATTCAGTGTTAGAACTTCTCCTTCATAAATCACATGTTATCTAGGAATTTTGCTCAGGTAAAAGGGAACTTTCATTCAATTTCTTTCTTCTCCTTTGGAGATTCAAACCCATAACTGTCAAATACATAGTAGTATTATTTGAACATCAGTCTAAGTGAAGCATAGGTACTATGGTAGGGAAGAACTGACTTAGATTTCTACTTCTCAGCTGACTGCTTAATCACTTAAATGTTATATAATGCATACATTGTTTAAAATTACTAAGCCCTCTCTCCAAAGAACGCTCTCAGATAGCTAGCTTCAGGACTGAGTTTTTAGATTTTGATCCTGAATGAATGAATATGCCTGCCTTTCTGCTATGACTATAACAATAAGTCTCCAGAAAGGGGCACTTCTTAATTATTACCTCTAATTTTGGAAGGCATTCCCCTTTAGGGTTATAGCTGCTGCCAAAAAATACAGGTAGCCCAAGTACCAAAGTGTATGTTTTGGATTACACTCAGGTGGCCAACCTGCTGACACTTTGGTGGTTTGTTGCCTGGCTTATAGATACCAATTAGCTCTGGACTGAAGAGATGAACTTCAGCTTTCAGGATGAATTTTTAACAAATTGTTTCTAGATGCTTCTGTGAAGATTTTTAAAGACACAAATAGCATTTAGATGTACTGCTCTGAAAAACTTTCAAAACAAAGATGATTTTTCTTTTAATAACTGTCATGTTTCCTCTGAGATCCAGTAAGCAGAATTTGATCACAAGGACATTCAGTATTGCAGTTGCATTGGAAAAGGTTCATCACTCAGAATGCTGCATGTCTTGTTAGTCTTAATTTTTCTGTCTCCTTGTCCTTCTACTTAGTTGCTGACAAGGCCGCCTACTTGATGGGTCTGAACTCAGCAGACCTGCTCAAGGCTCTGTGCTACCCCCGAGTCAAGGTTGGGAATGAATATGTGACCAAGGGTCAAACCGTGCAGCAGGTAACAACCAGCTGGTGACTGGGAACCTCTGGCTTGATTCACTCTCTTGCTCTGGGTACTGTTTTCCTTTTGCTGCATTCTTCTTTGTATTAGGTGAACAACTCAGTGGGTGCTCTTGCAAAGGCTGTCTATGAGAAGATGTTCCTGTGGATGGTTGTTCGCATCAACCAACAGCTGGATACCAAGCAGCCCAGACAGTATTTCATTGGTGTCCTGGACATTGCTGGCTTCGAGATCTTTGACGTAAGGATTCCAGGTTTGAGGACTGCTCTTGCAGGGGGAGATTGCTATATCAGAGGACTTCCAAGTAATATTCTTCTGAAGGTTTAACATGCTAGTCATTTGCAATTTTCTGGAAAAAAAAATCCTTCATTTTTTTTTGTAGCACAGAGCAAAATCCTCAGAAACTCCATTAGTACAAGAACAGAGTTACGTTGTTTGTGTAGAAGTAGCAAAAAGAATTTTATATGTTGTAATATTTTAATAGTTTGAGCTTCATGATAATGATTAAAAAACCCCCAACAAAATTACAATAATTTTGTATAAGAGCTAGAGCAGAATGAAGATTTGGAGACCCATTGACAAACATACAACAGGATAAAGATGTGTAAATTTTTTAGAGGACAAAGGAATGAATATGTAAGTGTTTAATCAGAGATATCAAGTGTTTAAAAATTGGAGACCAGGGCATAAAATCATCTTTTTGGTTGAACAAAAAAAAGCCAAAGTACTTTATGAATTTTAGGACATTGACTAGGAATATCTTCTCTGGAAAAATTTCCATTTTCATTATGTAGGTATTTCTTTGGGGAGCTATTTATAAGTCCTGCTATGGTGCAGTCCTGCTAATACAGTTGTGTTTTAACTGGGGAGATTTATAAAGGGTTGAGAATGATCAAGAACTGTGCATGTTGACGATAGGTGGTTGTTGTTTTTTTTTACACTGGGAAGTTCAACAGCCTGGAGCAGCTGTGCATCAACTTCACCAATGAGAAACTGCAACAGTTCTTCAACCACCCCATGTTTGTGCTGGAGCAGGAGGAGTACAAGAAGGAGGGAATTGAATGGACATTCATTGACTTTGGGATGGACCTGGCTGCCTGCATTGAGCTCATTGAGAAGGTAAATTTTTAATTCAAAATATTTTGTATTTTCAGGAACTCATTATTTCAAATTGAAAATTGAATTCAAATTGGTTAAATGCTATTTTAAAAAAAGGTCTCTTCATGGTTATTTTCATGCATTCAGTTTTAGTTGTTGAAATATCTCTTGGTCTGTAGTATTGCTTATTATGCATTAGAGATATTACAAAGTCCACAGATAACTATGGAAGTCATTCCTCACAGATCTTCTCTGTGTGAAAGGTATCTCCACTTGCTTGATTAAAGGATTTTTTTTTTCAAAAACACAGAGCAGCTCCCAAAGTAAAATAAAAATATTTTCTTAAGGTTCTGGAATGAAGTTACCTGGACAATACATTTTTTGCTAGATGGTTCATAGTAAAGTAAGTACAGGCCAATATAGTCAGTGCCGGACCTCTGAGTGCAAGAAACTGAAAGAGATTTCTTGTAGTTTCATATAATTTAGGGAGTTGATTAAATGTAGAAAAACTGAAGTAAATACACAGTGGACACTTTTGTGAAAGACATTTTTAAATATAATCTTTCTCCTCCTGATTTTTTAACATGGTTTTTGGCATAAAAAACATTCCTGAATCACTGTGCCAAAGTGTGAGTCAAGTGGGTGAATCTTTTAAACCCACTTTTACGAAAGAAATTTCTTCATGGCAGGGGTATTGGTTTGTTTCTCAGCTTCTTGGCTTTTACTATATTCCCTTTAAGACCAAGCTATAATAACATTATTCTACAGGCATTCTCTCTTCTAAGTTGTACTATCTTCCAGCCCATGGGCATCTTCTCCATCCTGGAAGAGGAGTGCATGTTCCCCAAAGCAACTGATACCTCTTTCAAGAACAAGCTCTATGACCAGCATCTGGGCAAGTCCAGTAACTTCCAGAAGCCCAAGCCTGCCAAAGGCAAAGCTGAGGCTCACTTCTCCCTGGTGCACTATGCTGGCACCGTGGACTACAACATCACTGGCTGGCTTGAGAAGAACAAGGATCCCTTGAATGAAACTGTCATTGGGTTGTACCAGAAATCATCTGTGAAGACACTGGCTTTACTTTTTGCCTCCTATGGCGGAGCAGAAACAGGTTAGTTCTCTAAAATTCTTTTTTCCCAACATTTATGATCTCTAAAGATGCACGAAAAAAGATAATATTTAAAAACTCTTTTTGTTTTTGAAGAGGCTAGTGGTGGTGGCGCTGGTGGTGGAAAGAAGGGTGGCAAGAAGAAGGGTTCTTCTTTCCAGACTGTCTCAGCTCTTTTCCGGGTAAAGTATGAATTTCATTATCTGTAAAGCGAAATGAACATAGTTTCAAAACTGACTTATCTAAAGTCCTGTTCTTCTCAAGACCTTGGTTTTATAATGAAACAACAATAAGTATGAAGTGAGCAGCAGTTATTCACTGCCTTATCCTAGTAATTATCTGTTCACATTTGGGATTTGTTTCAGTCTTCAGCTGACCCCCTGAATGTCTTTTAAAAGTTCACTTACATTCATTGTGAAAAACATTTTTCAGAATCTGGGATGTAATATAAATATTAATCCTATAAAGACTTGTATTAAAATTTTTATATAGTAATGTTTTATTTCCTAGAAACTAAGGTGCAGAATTTTAAACTTTCTTTTGAGGGGAATACTTAAGTATATAAAAGGTTTGAATAAATCTAAGTTTTGAATTTGAAAGCTTCTTCCTCCTAAGATTATTATATTAGTTCCTTGGCATCTAGATACAGAGTATACAGAAGTAAATTTTTTTAATCTAAGCGCTACACATGATCCCACAGGAGAACTTAAACAAGCTGATGACCAAT